TCCCAAATTAAAAAAAGGCACTTATTGGATCTAGAGAAATCAAAACCTAATTGAATTCAGACCTAACACATAAAAAAATTATACATTTTAAATCAATAATATCAAATAGGTCACATACATAAAAATCTTTAAAACATTAATTAAATATTAAAAAAGAAATAAAAAAAGAAAATGCATTGAAATGCCACTTGGCACCCAATAAAATCTCTAGACACATGCATGATTTAAAATATGGACAAAGAAATGATGAGAGAGGAAAATAGAAAAAGAAGCCAGATGAGAATGACGCATGGATCTATTAAATCAAGGTATTAAATCATAATCTTATTTATATAATACATATATATAAATATAAAATTAAATAAATAATAAAATATATATTTATATCGTGAATTAAAAAAATAAAAAAGCAAAAAATATTGAAAAGTGAAACCAAAATCAAATTCCAATTGACGACGACACTTTCATAATATCTTTTTAAAAAATTATCAAATACAAAATAAAAAATTAATCAATAATATCAAATAAACCCCATTTAAAATTTTAAAAAATAAAAATATTTATTAGATAATTAAAAAAAAAGTAAATAGATAAAAAAAAAAGAAAGAGAAAAGAAGTAAATGACATGACACATAACATACTCTTGGTATTAAGTAGATCTTAAAAAAATTATTTAAAATTTTAAAATATTTATTAAATATATAAAAAGAAAAATAATAGAAAAAAGTTTAAAAAAAAAATGATAAACACATTACATGCCATTGGTATTAAGTGGATTTCATAAAAAAGTTAAAATCTTTAAAAATATTTATAAAAAAATTTTTTAAAAGGAGAAATAAATGAAAAAGTAAAATAAAGGAAAAAAAAAAGAAAGATTGGTATAAAGTTGGTCCCACCTTTAAAATTTTGAAATGAAATTTTATTAAATATAAAGAAATCTTTAAAAAAAGTAAAAACAAAAATAAAAAAGCAATAAATAAAATGAAAATGAAGTTTTGAAAGAGAAAAAGCAAAAAAAAAGGAGGGGATGCCTTGTAACATATGAGTCAATTTTCGTATAAAAGCAAAATTTATCCAATGAAAAGATTTTAAAAAAAGATTAAAAAAGAAAAAAAAGGGTAAAAAGCATGTTAAAGTTGATTCAATCCTCAAAAAATTTAAATCTTTTAAAATATTTATAAAATTTTAAAAAATCTATAAAAAATTTTGAAAAAAATTTAAAAAATCTCAAAAAACAAAAAAAAATTAGAAGGAAGTGCCACTTGGCACATCCAAGGTGAGGCACTATTATTGTAGGGAGTATATCATCTATAATAATTGTAGTATAATTAAACAATTATAATTTAGAATTATGTGTGAATCACTAAAATTTTATATGAAACCTTCACTTATAAATAGTATACCTCTAAATAATTCTTCATTGTGATTGGACAATTGTAATATTATAGTAAAAGGAATTATAAGTGAAATGCTCATTTACAATACATAAGATTTATATTTTAGATAAAAAACAAAAAAAGCCAAAAGCAAAAAGAAAGAGTTAAATGACTTAACACATGGCATACTTTTGATATCAACTAAGTTTGAAAAAATAAAAATATATAAAATTATTTATCAAATATATAAAAAAGAAAAGAAAAAAGAACTTAACATACCATCTATATCCCATGGATAAAGACTATCCCTAAAAGGATAGTATGGTGACATGCGGCAAGTTCATTGCTTGCCATGTGTTATTTTTATTTATTTTATTGATAAAAACTACCCTAAAGGATAGTATAGTGACAAGTGGAAGTCCATTGCTTGTCATGTATTATTTTTATTTTTTATTTTTTAAAATATTTTTAACGGTTAGGATGTTAACATATGATGAACCCTTTTATTTATCATGTAAAATTTTTTTAAACAAAAAAAACATTTTTCATAAAAATTGTTTGCTTAATTATGATTATAATAAAAAAAACATAATAAGAGTTGAGAATAAGGATGATGATTCGTTGTTGGCAATTGTAATGCTCTCAAACACTTTTGTAAAAAAAAAAAATAAAAACTAAGAACCTCGATAATAAAAATATTTGTAAAAATATATTTAACTAATTAAAGAAAAATCAACCTTCAAAATCTTAAAACTAATCAACATATTAATTTCAATAACTTATTAAGACAAAAAAAAATGCAACTAAAAATAATCAATTGAAAAAATAACCTACATGAAAATCAATTAAAAGATCTCACAAAAAATAATAAAAATTCTTTAAAATTATCAGATCTAAAATTTAAATATTTTTTAAAAATATATTTTAAAAATAAAATATATATAATTAAAAACTAAAAAATTATATTTGAGATTTTTTAATAAATTACAAAAAGATTAACAACAACCAGTCAACACAAACAACCATACAAAAATTTCTAGATATAAGATTTTCAAACTCTTTTTTTTAATCTAAAAACTTATAAACTAAAACTAAAAATTTTAAATTATTTTTTATAAAAATTAAGAATTCCCCATACGAAGCAGGTAACATTTATCAATTAAGTCCTACAAAAAAAAATCTAAAAAATCTTTGTTAAATATTTATGAAAATGGTGAAAAAGGAAAAGTTAAAAAAAAAAGAACATTTGGTATATGGATTCTCATACATTAAAAAAAAATCTTTAAAAATATAATTTCTTATAATTTTAAAGATATTATTAAATATTTTTCAAAAAGAAAAAAGTTAAAAGGGTAAAAAAGAAAAAGTTAGTATAATTAGATCGCATACATACAAATCTTTAAAAAAATACATTTTTTAAAATTTTAAAAAATATTTATTAAATATTTTACAATAAAAAATAAAATCCTAAAAAGAAGAAAGAACAAAAAAAGAAAAAGACAAAACACACAAATTACACATGTTGGTGGTACATTAGTAAAATTTGTAAAATCTAAAAGAATCTTTGTTAATATTTTTTTTAAAAACAAAACAATTGGTATTAGTGAATCTCATACATAAAAAATAAAATCTTTAAAAATATATAAATTTTTTTATAATTTTAAAATATTTTAAAATATTTTTAAAAAATTTAAAGGGTAAAAAAAATTGATATAAATAAATCTGATGCATAAAAAATAAAATTTTTTAAAATATATAGTTTTTATAATTTTAAAAAACATTTGTTAGATATTTTAAAATAAAAAATAAAAAATAAACAAATTACACGGGACAGCCTAAGATTAATAACAGCTCATTAGCAAAAACAAAATTATAAAATTTTTAAATATATAGTTTTATAATTTTACAAAACATTTATTAGATATTTTAAAAGAAAATTAAAAAAATTAAAAAAAACAAATTACACGTGACAGCCCAAGAGTAATGACAGTACATTACCAAAATTTATACTTTAGATGTTAAGTATTTGAGGACCAGTACCTGAACCTTCATGAATATGAATACAAACTCACAATTCAGAAGTCAGTACCACAAGGAGCAGCTGCATACTACAAACAAACAGCAGAGCTGCAAGAGTTGACATATTCTTATAATAGAAAAAAATAAAAAAAAGGAAGACGAAGAAGCAGTACCTAGGTGACTAATCATATTCAATAACCTGCATTTCCACAGTCGTAGCTAAAAATAGCCCCATCACTTGACACACAATGTGGCAAGAACCAAAAAATCAAATACAAAATTGACAATAAGGAATTCAACCCCATACCTCTGAACAGAATAACCTACAAAGTGAAATAAAAATTCACGGCCAACATAGGTCACCATGAAAATTAATATAAGGATTAGGAGTGTAAATAAGATATATGTATTCTTAAAATATTTAGATTTGATTCAAAATAAATTTAAATTCGATTAAATTGTTATTATTTTGAATTCAAATAATTTAAATTATCGAACAAATTAAATTTAAATATTTAAATATTTGATTTGAGTGAATCGTAAAATTAATCAAATTTTTTATTTTTAATATTTTATTACTAATTTATTTTGTATCCTTAAATATATATATACATACTTAAAAACTCTAAATTCCTAATCTTTTAAATTCCTCCCTTTCCCCATCCCAGCGGCACCCCTACATCACTCTACTGATCCCATCCCAACACCAACAGTCACCGCTTCCTACCTTCTGCCTTCATCAACAAAGTTTTCTGACCTTATTGTCAACCGTTTACTGCAAATCCCTAGTCCCAACAACGACACCCCTTTCTTTTCCCATAACATTAGAAAAGTTCTTTGAAACTCGAGCAGTAGCAAAGCTCCTTCAAGTCAAGACTGAACACACCGGTATCATAGCTGACAGCGGCAAGGGGTGAAAGCTGCAACCAGCAGCAACAGGTAAGTTTGGCAACTGGCAAAGTCAGCGAACCAAAATTTCGTGGTTGACACAAGCACGCTCAGCTATTTGTTTGTTGTAATTATTCCAATATATGAGGCATGAATTGATTTTGTAACTGCCTACACATTGCATCTGTGAAATGTGATAAATTTCTTTTTGTTTATTTTTATAAAAAAAAAAAGGTTTTATTTCATATTTATATTTCTGTTTTCTGGAAAGTATTTTTTTTCATTTTAAGTTCAGCCAAGATCTTTATTTTTATTTTTATTTTTTTGTGGAAATAAAGCTTGTAGTTCTTATGTTAACTTGAATAATAGTTTATTTGGATACAGTTGATTGCTTTATAGGTTATGCTTTCGGCTGCTTTGAATTTTGTCATTTTCTTCATTTGCAGATTCAAGTTGAATTAATTATTATATTAGATTATTTATTTATTTTTATTATATTATTTTGAAATATATGATACAAAATATCTATTAAAAATCTTAATTCGAATTCAAATACTAATAATCGAACTTAAAATCAAGTATGAAATCAAACTTATTTTTCATTGATAAATAAACTTATTTGAACGAATTCGAATAATTTAATTTCGATCACGAATCAAGTTCAAATTCAAAAAATAAAACTTGATTGAGTTCAAATCAAAATATCGAAGTCGTGAATTAAAAGTCGAACTAGAGCTTGAGCTTTCTTATTGTATTGTCTGGATTTAATTCGATTACACTTCTAATAGAGATATCCCATTATGGCTTTCTACGGATTGATGTTGCAATCTCGCAAATACATAAGATCATAATTTACATACTTTGCCCAATAGTTCTTATACTTAGGTATGCCTATCTCCAGCCATGGTTTCAAGTTGCCATTATAGTGCATAACAGCAGCTCGTTCAATCTCCCTCTGGTTGACATTAGGATTGTAGCCAAGCCCAAGCACATGCCAAGATCTGTCAAGGGGATAAATGCTTTTCCAAAATGTTATAAGACCAGGAGGCAGGGTCCCCAACTTCCACAATTGCCTGTCACGATTCTGCACATCAAATTTGCTTCAAAATAAATAATACACTAGCATAACACGTACTCTTTTAATTTAGGATATGTCCAAAATGAGCTAAAAGACAACACTGAATTAAAACTCCCAACGCAGTTTTTACCATTTATGATGGTACTCAGAAAAAAAAAAAAGAAAGTTAAACCATATTCATGACACCGGGTGACGGCAATTAGGTGATATCTAATTAATACTAGCAATGTGAGCAAAATAAACAGACTTGGTTTCTGAAAAACTTTCATGCCTATTTTATAATCTGTTTAGCCAGGATTTACACGTAACTTACCAGCTTCTGCCATCTATGATATACCTCCGTGATGTTTTGCCGCCTCCACTCCTCCAAATCAAAAATATTCATTCCATATGCCCATCCACAAGCATGTGGATCAAAGTTCTTTGAGATTAGTGGATTTGAGAAGTTGAGATAGTGATCAAACCGATGGAAGCTTTCTCCACAAGTCTCAACAGCACCGTTGACATTGCCCTTCAAATCAAGGGACCAAAGACCACTAAGGTCCTTCTGGACTACTATATCATCATCTAGGAACAGCACTTTATTGAGTTTTGGAAATATCTCTGGTAGGTAAAACCGAAGATGGTTTAGGATGGACAAATATTTTGGGTTCCGAAACTTTAGATTTGAATCAGAATTAGCCCGATGTGCCCTGAAGTAATAATCAATCATGGAAGGAGAACCTAACTGCTTAAGGACTGGACTGTAGCTTGAGTTTAACCATGTAAATTCTTCAATGTTCTGGACCTCTATAGTGGCTTTCCCAGGAGGATTACCTAGAAACCACATCCTCATTGCTGCATAATTAAGCCTATCCGTAACAATGTGGAAAACATGATCTGAAGGGTGCTGCAAGGTATTAAGTGAATTTGATGGGTTAAAGATGTCAACAAAAATGTCAACAAAAAGCAGGGGGCTCAAATGTTATCATGTACATATCAAGTTGTTTTATACACACACATGCACATGTATATGCTCCAATATTTACTTCCCAAGATGATGAGTACAAAATTAAAATGCAATGGAAATGGCAGAGTTAAGATTAAAAGTGATAAACCATTTCCTTTTCTACTGGCAACCATAGGAAGTATGAGTTAAGTCTCCATAGGCATTTACCTTAGCATGGGAGACAGTTGAGTTTACAACAACTGCTGCTGCTAATATATTATCTGAGAAAAGTGCGTAATGGTACAGCCGGGGGTCTTCTATTTTCTCTTGATTTAGAAAGTTTTGTTGCGAAGAATTCAAGGTATAATACTCAGTAGTAAGACGCAAAGGCAGGCAATGAAGACCCTTGGGAAGTGCTTTTGCAGTTAATTGTGTCAAGAACATGGTCTGCTTTCTGTGCACTCGGAGTTGCTCTTCAGTTGAGTGGAGCATAGCCCTAAGCTTCTTTACCACAGCAGCACAGTCATTTTGAATCTGCTTACCTTTTTCTAATGATTGCTCCATTGCTTTCAATTTATCAAAGGCACTGCAGTAATAAGATGCAAATTAACAAATTAACACAATGTAGAAACTGCATTCTATACTTAAAATCCTTCAAAAACTTAGGTGGCTGAATCAGAAAAAAAAAAAAGGAACAAAAAATAAGACAGATTTGACAAATGAAAAGAAATCAAGAAAGTTTAAATAGAGAGCAGCAGTCCTATGTTCAGAAAGACGAGTTACCTTTTTGGCAGATCAGTGTCCTTGGCTGCATCACCAAGAGCACGTGAAACTTCCTTAATCCGCAGTCGAAGCTCCCTTGTAACATGTGGGTTGTTTTTTATGGCTGGAAGGGAGAGGTACAATTTTGCACGGATGAGCTGGTCTTTGAGGTGACGTACATGAGCATCTGCTGGTTCAGTCAGTCTGTCAGATTTGTTATCTGAATGCTCTTTCTGGTCAATATTGCCTGAGGGCCGAGTTGGTTGTTGCTCAAGCTTTGTAGCCTATTGATAAAGCAAACAGGGTAAAATAACTGTTAACACCCCACATTTAGATTTAAAGTTTCCTTTTATTGTGAAACCTGGAAATGTGGTACCATTAAGAAACTGGTTTTGGCTGTAGAGAAACGATTATTTGGAAATGCAAAGCAATTATTGGCAGACAAAAATGGTACAAAGTGGCAAAAAACCTTGAAAGGGTTAGTGAATAACATCTCTTCGAGGTTAAAAGGTTAGATGAACTTTATCAAAGGAATATTTTGTTTAGATATGCAATTCAAAATTGAAGGAAACGGTTTAAAGTCAAGACACTGAAAGAGAAATGATAAGGTAGGATTAGGGGTATTAGTGACAACTGAAACTTCTTATATATCAAAGGTTTAGAATTTATAGAAAGGGATAATTCGCGTTTCCATTGTAGCAAAACAGTCTCAAAATCCTTACTAGATGAGAGGCAAGTAACCAGGGAAGTATGTTATGGTAAAATTAAATATTCAGAAATCGAAATCAAAAGAAACCGGGAATGACAAGTAAAATGCTAGAAGAAGAAAAATAGGGCGATTTATAGTTGTTGAAAGCTAAAAGGCATACACCAAAGAGTTTTGGAAAATGAAGAAATTAAATGAAATACTTAAAAAAAAGAAAAAAGAAAAAGGGAAGCAATTACCAAGAAGTGAGACACATTGGGATAGGAATCGAGGGTAGTGGTGAGATTAAGGGGAGCAGGATCGATGACCAGTCCAATGGGGTTGGGTAATTGGGGTAGACGTTCTTCATTTGTAGCAGAAAGCACTCGAGTTGATTTATGCTCCCTCGTCTCTGTCATTTGGAAATCTAACACCATCAATTCACATTCGCATTGCCCAAATTAAAAGTAGATTAAATTTTCTTTAAATGCAGAAAGCATAAAAAAAAAAAAAGGAAGAAGAAGAAATTATTTACCAATGGGAAAGGAATCGTTAGAGGGGTCAGAATATACGATTCCAATGGGTTCTTTAAGGGCGATGGAAGTTTCCTATTGCAAAAATTAGAGAATGAAGGCGTTAGATCTGAAATGTATCCATATAATGCCTGCCCTGCCTTGGACAAAAAAAGGAACTAATCTACTATATTACTACCTGCCGAAGAACAGTGAGATGTCTGATATCGCCGGACAGCGTCTGCAGAAGAAAAGAAATTGCGCTTCACAATATTATTATTATTATTTATTATTATGAACGCAAGGAAAGTACAAAGAAAGAAACTTACAAAAGCTGCAACATCATCAAGAAAATGGCGTCTTGCTGCAGAAATTGCCGTTAATTTTTAAAAAAAGGAAAAAGAGATCAGCGTCAAAGAAAGGAAACAGGAAAATGAAAAACAAGCCCATCAGTGTAAGAAGAAGAAGAAAAGACATACAAGAAGAGGGGTTGAAGAAGGCGCCGACCCTATCAGTGTAAATAAAGATGGGAGCAATGACGGAAACCGACAGCAAACCCAACACTATATGCCTCACCTTCATCTTTTTCCCTATCTATTTTTACAGCAATTTTCACATTTCTTAACTACTACAATAACAACCAAGAAAAGAACAGAAAAAACCCTCTTCTGTAATTTGTTTGCAGAGGAGAAGAGGAAAGTATAACAGAAAAATAGATAGATGAGTACGAGAAGAGGAATCTTTCTAAATCTGTTCAGGACATCATGAAGAGAGAGACACAAATGCTTTTTTTTTTTTTTCTTTTCTTAATTTTTAATTTACTCCTATTTTTTTAACCTTTATCTGCTTAAGTCAGCTAAAATCGTTACGCGTCTAACCTAGTAAGCAATATTTTTAATTGGTGAATAGACAATTATAGCATAGTTGTAGCTGTAGGCTGTTGGCGTTGGTGGCGTTCATTTTTACCAAAATGGTAGTTGTTTTTGTTTTTGTTTTTTTTTTTACACTTTTCTAAAATTATTTAAGTTAAATTGTAATTTTATTAAGCATTTTTTAGAAGATGAAAACATTTTTAATTAAATTAAAATTTTAATTTAAACATTTTTTATAAAAGATTTCTGTAAATATCATAGTATGCATCTTATCTAAGCTTATATATATTTTAGAAGAGTTTATTATATACTTCTCTAAAAAAAAGTTGAAAATGAGATTAAGCAGTAGTAGTATTTGAATTATGGGCTTTTTACTTGCGTCATATGGTCTAACGCCCACTTTGACTTCATCAGCTCATGCCTTCCAAAATAATGTCAGCTGTGAGCTAGGTATTCCAACATAAAAGAAAAAACTATTTTTTTGACAAAGCCCATTTCTGTCCATACAACATTCTGCCAACATAATCATATTATAATCATAATATATACTAGTAAATATAACAATAATTATAGTTAAACCACACTGTAAAGTAGTGAGACAATGGATGGATGGGGACAACAAATCTCACTCCATTTCTTTGTCCGTGTTGCTGCGTACCATTAAGTTGATGTGTAGGACTCATCTCTGTACGTGGCATTAAGAATCGACAAAAAAAAAAAAAAATTGTGGGCAGAATGTGATTCAAATTGCCCCTACGGCAACCGGGGACCATCTTCATTCCATCCAGCACTTTCAGTAACTATCTCCAAACCCCCTTTTTTCATTATTAAAGATTTTTCATAAGCATACATATCTAAAACTTAAATTTTGGTAATATATTGGATAACAATGCCAAACTCTAAGGGTGATAAGTGTTGCTTCCACTTTTTTTTTGTTTTTTTTATTTGTTTTATTTAATTTTAAAAAAATTATTTAATAAATACTTTTAAAATTTATAAAACATATTTTAAAAAATTTCATTTTTATATGTGAACTCACTTATATTGTACTGGCTTTTTTATTTTTTTAAATTTTTTTAAAATTTAGTTCGTTAGAATCTATTTGATATCAATAAAATGCTACATGTTTGATATTTTACATTTTCTTTTTTTATATATTTAATAATTAATTTTTTTATATTTTATTTTTTAAGAGATCCACTTGATATCGATAGTATATCACGTATTAAGTCATTTAGCTACTTTTTTTTTTGCTCTTGCTTTCCTTTTTTTTTTTGCTTTTTATTTTTTAAAATTTATTTAATATTTTTAAAAATATTTAAAAATTTTTTAATATGAGACCCATTTGATATGATTATTTAAAATATATTTTCTCCTTTTTCATTATTTTTATTTAAATTTTATTATTTTTTAAAAAAATTAGTGAAGGTGTCAATGTAATATTCGGATTTGATCAATATAATATTCGAATTTGATTTTTTCTTTTCTCTATCCTTTCTTTTTTAGTCTTTTTTTTAAATTATATAATCATTGTAAATGTTTGTAACTCAACTCCCTTTTATTGCTTTATTTTTTTGCTTTTCACCTTTTTTTTCTATTTTTTAGTTTTTTTTTAAATAAGGTCATTTTGTGAATAAAAAATGAATGTACACATATGGCATCCTTTTTATTATTTTTTTTTATTTTTTATTTTTTAAATTATTATTTAATATATAAATTTTTTTAAAAATTAATATTTTAAATTCAACTAGGATGTTCACGTAGTACCTCAATAAACTTCCTTCCTTTTTTTTTCCTTTTTTTTAATTCTTTAATTCTTTTTGTTTTTTATACATTTTTATTAAATTAATTTTGTTATAAAAAATTAGGACAATGGAGATGTCTACATATTATCCCATTTGTATTTTTTTTTCTATTTCATTTTTTTGTACTTTTAATTAGATAAATTTTATAACAAAAAGTAACAATTGATAGACTTACCAAAACAGAACATATCCAATGGGTTTCAATCCATCATAATTCAATAGGCGATAGTTTTTTAAATCAGGACCAAATTAGGATGGATCAAGTTTTTATAAGATACAACATTGAGGCAAAAGTGTATTTAAAGTATTTTGTCACAACTCATTGGAGTATATATAAAAATATATATTTATTAATTTAATTTTATATTTATATATTTTTTATTAATGAAGTTATTATTTAATATTTTAATTTAAGCAATTAATATTTTAAATTTAATAGGATTGTCCATGTGACATATTTTATGGACTCTTTTTTCATTTTTTTTTCATTTTTGCGCTTTTTCCTTTTTACAATTTCTTTTTTTTAGATTTTTATTTTTTAATTGGAAATATGTTGTGATAATAAGAAGTCAATTTAGATATCCATGTGTCACCTCTATTTAGAATTTTTTTTTACTTTTCATTTTTTAAATTAGATAAATTTTAAAAAATAGTGAATAGAGATGGCAAAATAAAAAATTCAAACCTATAACATTTTTGTTTGATAAAAAAATTAGTATCCGATAGATTTTGATCCATTTTGATTTGATATGGACATTTTTAAAAAAATTAGTATTGAATCAAGTCATGTTTGTTTTTATAAAAATGCGAGAACAAGTCAAAAGCAGATTTAGAGTGTTTTGACCTAAACCACTTTATGATATATATAAAAGTATATATTTTATTATCTATTTAATTTTATATAAATTTTGTAAGAAAATAATGTTAATGTAGGTGCCAACTAGAGCCCCATTTGTTTATTTTCTTTTGTGTTACTTTTTTAAAAAAATTTATTAGGTTAGTTTTACAACAAAATGAGGCGGTTGATAGGGATGACAAAATAATTAGTATCTAATAGGTTTCTATCCATCTCAATTTAATATGATCGTTTTTGTAAAAAATCAATATAGAATCAATTCAAGATAATATACCCATTTAAAGTATTCACGTATCACCTTCATTTGGATTTTTTTTGTGCTTTTTGCCTTTAAAAGAAATAGATTAATAAAATTGTGAATATGAATGGTAAAACAAAAAATTTTAACCCACGATAACACTAGCATTCACCTAATATTTATCATTTTATGAAATCTTCAATAGGGCATAAATAGTGAGAGATTATCATTCCTATATGACAATCAACGTCCAGCAAGCTAGCTATTCAAGAATTGCTCTGCAACTTTTTTCCTTTTTTTTTAATTTTCTTTCCTAACCCCAGTTGTTGGTCTCAAAAGCTAATAGATTAACTGACAACTTTGTATGCTACCTTTATCATTTACATGCATCTATATACATAATGCAAACTAAGAAGAAAATATTCCTTGGCCCACCAATCATATTGCAAATTTCATAATTTTTCTCTTGTTTTTATTTGTGTTTGTTAATTAATTGTCATCTACAATAAAAAATATTGCCTTTTTTTTTCAAATTCATTGTCAAGAATTATTTATGATGGTGTCCAACTATCCAATGATGGTAAGGTCTAAAATCTTAAAATTGGAAGTCGATTAGAAGCAAAAGCTAGAGGTATCTTTGGCATTTATACTTTGATGCTCAAGTCAGTGCTTGGGAAAAGAGAGTAACAAGAAATTTTGGAGAAAAAATGAGGGAACTTAAATGCTAGTACCTATAATGAAGGGTTATTTATACTTGAAGGGTGAAATTGTTGGGCCTGGTTGGCCTAAGCTTTAAAAGTCACATTTAAGGCTAACAGAGTTAGCTTGATTTGACATGGTAAATGGAAGCCCAATTGAGAGATAACAAGTCAGCATGTCTATGTGTATTTAGGTAAAAAGTCAACTTGGCTAAGCTGGCATGGATCTTCAAATTTCATATTAGCTTATCATGTTCGCTTAGCTTTAAATGACTATAATGCTTTTACTTTGTTAATGATCACCTTCTTAAAGAAAAATGTCTTAAGCCTTTATGACCATAAAATGCCATAATAGTTTGTTGCTTCATCAAATAGTCTAAGGTGTTAGATAAATGAAAATCTAATTTGGCTAATCTATAAACACTAGGAACCAAGCTAAAATTTGAGCATGGATATCACAAGATTGTAAGCGTTTGTAATTTGTTTGACATGAATTTTTATTTATGTGGTTTTGATCTTTCAACTTAGTGGTCTCCTTTTAATTGTTCTTACTATATGAGATTGACATGGTGCTTAAAAGTAATTCTTTTAAAGAACTTGTTATTGATTCATCTTATCAACATTTATATAGGAGAGAGAATGTTAAAGAGCTTTTTGAATTTAGGTAATTTTTTAAATTTGAACAAGAAAGTTGAAAGGTTATTTTCGGTCTATGTGGTGTGACATGGCTTAATCTGGATTGTTCATTAGATCTGAGCTTTACCTATAAAAACCTTACCTAAGGCCCTCGTTTCTTCATGCACTCTACATTTTCTTACTTTTCTACTCTTGTGTTGATTTATTTTTTAGTCAACTTTTGAGCTTTTTTTAGTTTTCTTTGTTTGACCTTTTCCCTTCCTTACCACTTTAGTACTTTTACTAACTTTTAATAATATCTAACTTTAGAGTAGAAGTTAGGAAGGGCCAGCTCGACCAAAGTAAGGTAAAGGTTCCATCAAATGATGAGGCCTATTTTGTGATTATAGGAAAAGATTTTAGTGGAGTTGCATTTTGGCTAAGCCCAATGTTTGAGTTAGCACATAAGCAATTAAAGAAAATGCCCCAACTTAAGAAAAGAAGATAAGTAATGGTATAGAACAACTGTTAGTAACCTTAGATGCCAATATCAATAATCCCTTTGCCTTAATCAATTTAAGTAGTTTGATTCATCTTTCTAACCTTTTTTTTACTTGCCTTAGCCTTTACCTCTGTGGTTTCTGCTTTTATTTATTCTTCTAGTCAAACTCTTATCTTGGTTAAGCATTTAATGATCTTTTTAGTGCCCAGACCACTATAAATTCGGTCTCAAACTCTA